TAGATCATTGTCGGCAGAGACTGTAGATCATTGTCAGCAGAGACTGTAGATCATTGTCAGCAGCGACTGTAGATCATTGTCAGCAGTGACTGTAGATCATTGTCAGCAGCGACTGTAGATCATTGTCGGCAGCGACTGTAGATCAAAAATGAAAACTATATAGGTCTGGGACCACAACCTAGGTGGACAACCTTGCAAACGAGCTGCTGGAAATCTGTAGCACACCTTTTAGTAACATGACCATTATCAGCGAAAAGGCGCTTTTTGCAACATTTATTGATCCCAAATTTCGAGCATGGTATCGAAGCTAAAGTTGTTTTGAACAACTCTCACCTGTTTGAATTGGCTGAACTAAGCACGATAGACAACTTCGGTCTAACAAACAGCCCTAGCACGTTCAGCACCTAGCAACTTCATAGACAAGAGTGGACACATTGGCAGGTCAACTCTAAAAAATTTGTTTGCATGTTCAGCAACATTCCTGATACAGTTAACAATAGTTCTTGCTTCCATAAGATTAGCGTATTATGTGCAAATATCAGGATACTACTAAACTTGCCTTCCAAACTGAGAAACACACAGTGACAGGTAATTTTGTGTTTGATGTATTAGTGTCCAAGGTGTATTTGTCATTCTGCACCATTATTCTGTTCACAAATGACAGTAAACGTTTATTATTTGTGTTGTTCTTTATCATGCTCAGCTTACAGATTTAGAATCAGGAGAAAGAACATTACTATATCTTTTTTTCAAACATATTGCTCTACTTCTTGGCAATGCAGATACCTGATCCAATTGCAATGGAATTCTTTATGGTTCAGATTCATAGTGTATTACTGACTTTTACGGGAAGAGTTCCGGAGACAATGGACGCAAATGCATGCAAAATTGGGTGTATTTTTTAAATAGTCACAAATTATGTCCGAATATGGACATCAGTTGTTATGGGTGGTTATAAGCAGATTATATAAACGAGCTGTTGATGTGTAAAGTAACTTCTACTTTCATCCCAACGCACACAAGTCATGATTGGTAAATATCCAGAAAAGCATCTTTTCCACGATAGCGTCATTTTTCGAAAAAAGTGTCCTACTGATTTCTAGTAGCTCGTTTGCAAGGTTGTCCACTTTAGGTTGTGGTCCCAGACCCATATAGATATCACTTCTGGTGCACAACCTTTTATAGCATTCCATGTCTGTTAAACATGCTTAAGCCATCAGAGCGCAGAAACCACTATTAAAGCTTGACTTAAAGAATTGGAAAGAATTGCTCTGCCATACATGATAGTATTAGTCGCGTAAATATTTAGAGTTTATGACGGCATCATCTTGCAGCAGTGTTTACGTGAATGTCATCCGTACAGTGTAGAACATGGGCGTGTGTCTACATCGATTCTAACGAAGTGGTAAAACAGCCCATTAGCCTAAACATTACTTAATCGAATAACGTAGAATAATAATGAATTAGGTAATTAGAATATTTAAATAAAAGTTTTAAAAACGTTTCATGAGCGTAACAATGCATTAATTAGCGTTTAATTAAATTAGGATTATTATATTTACATCGGATGAGGAGGTAGGTCTACCCGTGCGTGCACAGCGAGACAGGAAGGATGTGACGTATGAGGAGGTAGGTCTACCCGTGCGTGCACAGCGAGACAGGAAGGATGTGAAGTATGAGCAGATGTTATGTGCGTGAGCAGAACCG